CCTGATAAAAAATAACATGCAAGGCACTTTTTAATACAGTGCAGGAAAAGGTTTCAAGTCTGCATAGTAACAAAATACCTGTCAGGCACCATGACCAAAGTTTAGTCTAACACACACATGAACAATGCCTGTGGGCACATGTCCTGCCATTTCAACAGCAAATGTGCTCATGGTGCAACTCAACTATCCCAAAAGCCAAACAGTGTTCACGTGGGCCTCTGAGAGCATTCAAAACACAGAATAACATGTGAAGTGTAGAGAAACCCTGGCTCCTGGAGTGCTGGCTGAAGGGAGCTTTTAAAGAGCATCTAAAACAGTTTTACCAAACACAATGTACTGAAACTGAAGGAGCAGAGGGTGCAATTGGCTGTGTGGTGTCACAGGGGCAGCCAAGGAACAAGGAACGGCTGCTCTTAGCTGCAGGTTAGGACACTGAGGATGGGAATGTGTGACAAAGTGAGTGCCACAGCTCTGCTGCTGTGCAGGACTGCCCGAGCTCCCTTTGCTCCTACTGTACAGGCACTGTGAGAGGGACCTGCTGGAGGAGAGGCATCATCCCCCTGCCTGCACCAGACTATTTTGGAAGAGCTAAACTGAGGCTGAAATGGTTCTCAAGTAAGCCAGGTAACTTCTGCCTCCTATATGCATCTCTCTATACACATATATATGTGTAACTATATATACCTGTGCACCTCCTTGCCCACCTGGTCTCTCCTGCATGCAGCAGATGAATGCCTCATTATCAGATTCCTCTGCTCACTTCCCAGTAGACTTAAATTACCATGTTAAATAGGATAATAATAAACACTGGCCTTTAACTACAGCACATCCTTGTTCACTCAGCAGCCTCCCTCTAATCTGATAAAGGGTCTGTAAAAGGCTGCAAGCAAACACCGAGTCAGTTGTTACACAGGTGCCTCTCCCTGCTTTCTGCAGTGTGATTCCTACGGCAGCACAAAGAGATTCAGGCATACAAAGCTGCTCTAGGGGCCCTTGATCCCTCCAAGAATTATCAGGTATTGAAGCAGAGGCAAGGTGCCAAAAGGACATAGTGGATCTGGCCCAAGACTCTCCTGCTGCATTTCAAAAGACAAAAGTAGCCCTGTGCCATCTGCTTGCTTCAGCACTTGGACTTCAAAACCAAAGTAGCCAAGGAAATCTTTCCGGCTTAGGAAAACAGCAGGGAGGAAGAGAGATCTTGGTGGCAGTGTGTGCTGCCTTCACACAGAGCTTGCTGCATTTGAGGTATTAGAGAAACTCTTTTTAACAACCACCCTGGAAAAAAGTCATTTATTCACCCAGAATAAATTATAGAAAGGGAGCAAGCTGGATTGGGAACAGAGAGGGCTGATCTGCCCAGACTTCGAATCCCCTTAGCCCCCAGAAGCCAAAAGTGCCATTTTATTTCAGTGGTACAGAATTTCCTATCCTGTTGTTTTGGTTTTTTGGTTTTAGTTTTTTGTGGGTTTTTTTGCATTTAGTTTACCTAATCCCCTGGATTTCTTTTGTTGCAGAAAGAGGAAAAAGCCTTACAAAACAACAGGAGATAAAAACAAAGTCGAATTACTTTGCTGAGCTCTTTCACACATCCAAAAGACACAGAGAAAAGCAAGCTCTGGAAAGGATAAGGAATTTCCTAGAATGCAGCCATTCCTGAAGTTCCCAATTAATAAAGCCAAGCCTCAAGCTTTGCAGTATTATCAATATATCTATGGAATTAAGATGGCTTTCCTCTGGTTTTCCAGAGTGAGGTAAACTTGGCTTTCTACCTGTCTTCCTCCAGCCTCAGCTTTGCAGAGCTGGCAAGCAATACAAAAGAGGAGGAAAGACATGAACTAGGCCGTCTGTCGTTGGAGGGTATGAAAGACAGTCTGAATAACAGCAGGAGAGAGAGAAGCAGCCTATGGTTATTTCTGACAGAATTGGGAGAGACTCAGATTGCAGCTTCATAAACAGCTCATCAGAGAAAAACTCGGTCCAAATTAGAGGAGCCCCTTTGGCCAAGCTCACAGAAATACACAACCCTTGTCTGAGAAGAGAGAAATCTTTCAAAAATCAAAATGCTTTTCTTTAAAGAGCAAAACCTAACTGCTCCCCCCTGTGTGGTGTAGTAACACCAACTTGCATTCCTGTCATTACAACTCATGGCTTGCAGCATATTCAGAAAAAAATTTCTGTGTGACACCAGGCTGTGAATGTTCTGCCTTACACACAGTCACAACCATGCAATGAAATGAAAAATTGACTTTTTTTTCTACCTCACCCAACCACAAGGTCCCTTTGATGGACTGTTCTACAAAACTGGAGGTGATTCAAAGGGTCAGCAAGCAGAAAAACTCCTGGCACAACCCAAATCCACCCAGCTCAAATTAAATAAAAATGGTTGTTTTGTGTGAGTATTTAAACACAAGAGGAGCGTGGAATTTCACTCCACATGACACATGTGATGTTTAGTGTTTTAGAGCCAGGAGTTGGACTCTGTGATCCTTGTGGGTCCCTTCCAGCTCAGGATATTCTATGACTCCATGACCTCCAAACAAAAAATGAAAATTCAGTTTCTTTTTTAAATGCCTACTAGATAGTATAGGTGAAGAATTGTCATGCATTGTGATGAAAAGAAGACTGTAGGATGTTTCTCAGGGCAATTTTTCTGTTCGCTTGTTTCTAACGTTCTGAACAATCTCTCACACCGAATCCTTTGTGCAACTGGATTAAGAAAATAAAGATCATTCCTAGTCAAGAGACATCCACAAGAAACTCAAGAGGTTTCTAGCAACCTTGCTGGCAGATTCAACCAGAAGGAAGGATAGAGCCAGCATGGAGATACACTCCTCCAAAGCTTCCAAGGGAAAAGCTGACCACCAGAGGAGCTTGCTGCTGGTGCCAGAGAAAAGTAAGTCTGAAGGTTATTCTGCCTATCTTCAGGATTAATTTCATTTACTCATTAATTAACACATAATGCCTGAAGTGACAAGCATAATCTCTGCATTGCTGAAAAGAGTCCAAGCAAAAAGCATCCCCAAAACCCAGCCACCTTTCAAAAAGGATATTGTATATGGGGACTTCAAACATTGATAATTAGTCTACAATGATTTGCATGATCTATGCTTCATCCTTATGCCTTCCAGCTGCCTGATGGACAGGTACAGTGATTCCCAGAAATGGGTATCAATGGTTTTCTTCTGTCTAACCACAATATCATTCTCACTTCATTTACTGCTTAGTGGGAAGGCATTGCTGTGACCCAGGAATCAGCTCCTTCCAGATGGACGAGTCTCAAAGTTCAGCATTTTAGTGCTTTAAACTAAGGAGGAGTTTGCTCATCCATAGCAGCCTGGACTGCAGAAAATCCAGTTGTTTGACCTCTTAATGCTCTCCTATCCAGCATTACAAGAAAAAGACATTTGGTGAGGGCTCTGTGCTAACACAGTAGGGGGGTACATGCTACAATACATCAATCCTGGGAAATGAGGTGGGGGGGTGGGCTGGAAGCAGGACTACACTGAAACACTCCAACCAGAAATACCTTCTGCTTCTGAATCACAGAATCATGGAATGCTTTGGGTTGGAATGGACCTTAAAGAGCACCTAACTCCAGCCCTCTTGACATGGACAGGATGCTCACTTTTCATTAGAGCAGGTTGTTCACACAACATAGCCTTGAACACTTCCAGGGATGGGGAAGGGGGAAGAGTGATCTAGTGCAGACATTTGATTAGCAGGAAGGTACAGTGAGCTGGACACCCTCCCTGGCTCTGGTGTGAGACCAATGCACCAAGTCTTTTAACCAGAACTGAGAGATGCAAGCAACCCAAAATAAACCATAGTCACTCAAAGCACCTGACTGCTTAAACTGGGCAGCAAAAAGAAGGCACTGAGAGGATCCTCTGCCCACTACCAGGAAAAGTGGAGATAGGCTGAGCCTTGGCAGTGCTTTTCCCAAAAGCACAGGAGCACCCAAAGCTATGCTGTGTGCCTCCCACAACCATAGGCACCTCTCATCTCCAGCAAGGGCTGTTTTGCACTGTTAACTTTGCTGGGAGCCCACAAAATCATTCTGTGATATTCTCCATAGCATGTGTGCTCTGAAGGTTTTTAGAGTCAGTGCCAGGAGTGCAGTAAGAAGGAATAAGTGTCTAGCAGCCCTAGAGCCAGGCACACACATGCACATCCAGTTCTGCCTCTGAGCTACGCTAATTATTTCTAACGGTAGCAACGCTCTCATGTACCAAAGCTGAATGAAAATATACAGCTAGGTAGGGAGGAAAATGCATTCTGTGAACCAAAATACTCACTTTCAGTTTACATCTAAGCACGTGTCACACTTAAACAGCTATAATGCACAAAACTCTCACGTGCCTAAATAAGCACAGATATACGTAGTGAAAGGAAGGAATATAGTTAGGGACAAATACTTTACATGTGTATAGAAAAAATGCAGGAAGGAAAACTAGCCCTTTCATTTAGAATAATATCAGTGCCAAAAAACAATTCTTTTACATGACTGCAGAAAAAAAAAATCAGATTATGGAAAAAGGGTGACTATTTGTAATTTTTATTGCTGCTGGAGCAATGATGTGGCAAGAACCCACAACCATCATTTTTCCCTTCTGCATCCTTAAAATATTTCCCACCTGGGGTGCAAAGAGAGGAAATGAAAGGAAATAGAAAATTATATTTTTCATGAGCTAATCCTGGGAAGCAACCTCTCAGGTTTCCACATTTTTGGCAATGATAATTTAAACAAGGAGACCAATATTTTCTCTTTTTTTTGCACAGTTGGAATGCATGCTTCCAGATGAAACACAATTAAACTTCAGTTTAAGAAGAGGAGGAAGGCAGTATTTGTGAGTCCTCTCCTCTTAGGACTGCTGCATAGCTCAACACAGCATATTACAAAACTGAGGGCTCAGCTGCAAACCTCTTTGGAAATGCTGAAGGCAAGCAAAATCGTTGGGAAAACAAGCAAACTGAAAGCAAAGAGAGCATAACTACTGTACCTTTACTTTGGGGAGGGTTCTGACTTCTGTCTCGGAGAACATTAATCTGGTAGACAGCTCCATAAGGCTCAAAAAGTTCTTTTAATTCTTTTTCTGACCACGAACGGGGAATCTGTCCAACAAACATCTTAATGGCATCTGGGTCTGGTTGGTCTGAATGATCCAAAGCTCCATTCATCTTGTTAGCTGTGCCGTTACTAGAAAGTGGAAAAGGAGATTAAAAAGAAAAGACAAGTTAGAAGACTACACAGTTTTCGTGTGCACTAGATGCAGAAGATGATGTCAATTGGCACAAAGCAAAAAAAAAAAAATCAGTGTTTAATTAATAGCATAAGTATTACGAACAAAAAACAATGCTATTACATTTTTCATTGAGTCTGGTTCTCTCTGCAGGCTGCTGCTTAATGTCATTATATAAGATGAGAGCGGCACAACACAACCCAGGACTTCTGCATTTTAAAGTAGAGGATAGTGGCAAATAAGTGCAGATTTCTCTCCATGGCTGTTGTAAACAGAACTGCAGTGAATTCTCACTAAACTGGCTACTGGCAGAAAGCAGGCAGTGCGTGTGTCTATGTGTGTGTGTTTTGTAATAAAGTCACATGAAAGGAGTATGAAACACTTGGCAATCTGTCAGATGACTAATGCAAGATGCCAGCAATGAATCTGCAGATTGTGTGAAGCATCCATGTGTGCATCAAATTAGTCTGATATTGCCTAGAATGGAAAACACTCCAGCTATGTGGCTGGTTGCTGCCGATTAGTTGCCTACGCTCTTTAAAAAGGAAAAGCAGTCTGGAGAGACCCAGTTTAAAGCATATTGTTTATTTCTGCCATAAAAAAAAAAAAAAAGCACAAATCAAAGAGACGGCAGTGGCAAAACTGCCTACATCGTTGTGGAAATGAAAATGCTGCTTCAGGAAGTTTTTTTTGCCCTGCAAAAGGAGATCAAATTTTTGAACACTTTCACCCCCTGTAAATTTTCAGCCTATCTGATCTCCAGATGTATGTCCTAAATCCAAGTTCAAAACAACCACACTTTTGCAGGGAAAAAGAACTTTGGAACAAAAATAATCTGATCTGGGAAACAAATGGCAGATCATGGTTTAGGATAATTCATACTCTTACACAGAAAATAAATAATTTTTAAATACAAAAGTAAAAATACATCACTTCCTCCTCCCTCCCCCCTCTCCCCCCTTGCATTATTGATAATTAAGGACAGTAGTTTCAACTAATTAGTTGGCTAGAAATTCCAAAAGTGCTGATGATTTTTGGATGTTTCAGTTTCAAGAAAGAACACTAATGATGCATGAATTTTCAAGCATCCCCCCCATCTTTCCACCAGGGAGAGGGGGCAAATGGCCTGTATGCAGCAATGTCAGAAGCTGATCATGGCAGAATTCAGGCATTTCAGAGCCACCTGCCACTTTCAAAAAACTTGGCTTTAATTAGAATTTCTCTGTTTGATGATTGTTCAGGAATGAATGCCCACTGGAGGACTTGGAAGAGCTCGGAATCTGCACAACCAGATGAAAATCATATTTTACATGTGAAAAAAAAAATCTAAGAGTGGCAAGAAGAAAACAACCCTGTGCAATTCCCCTGTCTCAGAGCTATAACCTGTGTGAAGACAAATTATTTCGTTTCATCTGTTTCATCTCCTTAAAAGCATAATTCACATTAATATGCCCGTATTAACTTTAGCACTTTCCCTGCTTACAGGCAGGAAGGAGAAAGTTATATTAAAGGCACATTTTACACCACCAGCAAGAAGTTTGATCATCCCTTGTGAAGTGCTTTCAACACGGATCAGCAGACAACAGCATTTATCACTCTCATAAATGGCTAAAATTCCTATCTACTCTAGCAGGAATCTTGCCTGAGTAAGGGACTCCAAGATTTGGTCCAAACTTTTTCACGACATTTCAGGTACAAATGCCTTGTCTTGCAAATGCTCTTTGTTTTGAATAAGTTCTGCAGGTCACAAGTTCACCTGCAGGAATTGTGACTTCTCCAGGCCTTAGAAACTGCATTTCCATACAAAGACGACACTTAAGCCAAACCAAGCCAACCATCCAAACAACCACCCCCTTAAAATTGTCAAGAAACAGAAAAACCATGACTGACTCACTTGAGTGATACTTCATGGGAACAACTTTCAAGACTTTCATGGAGCAGTAGGCACCTATGTGACACTTAAACCTCTAAAAAATCACTCAATTATTTCTTTTCAATTCCTATTCCTCTACATAAAACCCAATCTGTCAAACAACCTCCCTACCAGGGAGGTTGAAAAATCCCTGACCCACAGCTTAAAATAACTGTAGAAAACACTTACATGTTATTTTGAAAGAAAAGGTAGAAGTTAAGTTAAGCTCCCAGCTCTGCCCTGGGCTTGGTCAACTATTTTCTTTCATAAATTGGCTTGACTTTTCACTTCATTTATTCTCTGTGTTGTTTGTATTGAGTTCAGTTTTAAATTATGCCCTTCATCTGTTCTCTCTGTTGGATCCCTTCTTTAAGAAATCCATACACAATTGCTACTTAGCCCAGAATTACAGCTAGGGTCATGTTTAATAAAGAATAACAAGTTTATTCCTCTGCTTTTTCCTTTACCAAAACCACCTTTACCACCAAGAGCCCCACAATTTCCATTGCTAATCAGCCAATTTTTTAGGAAAGCACAAAGCCAAACACTAACACCTGTTTTCTCAGGTTAATGGCCCTATTAGCATCAAGTTCTTGCTTTGAGCTAAAGGTTTAGGCACAGGCCAAGCACTCTTCTAATTGCACAAAACGTTTAAGCCCTTTCTTTATTTTGTTGGGACCAAAGTTGAATTACATTGGTCATATTCTTTAAATGCTTTATTGGCTGAAGGTGGTTAAAAGCTCTGACTCAAGGCATCAGTACCATACCCTATGATGCCAAGCTCCAGGGGACAGGTTTTGTCACTCACTGCCTGCATTAACTTGAGTAAGTCATTAAAACTTCTCCAAACTAAATTCCACCATCCATTGACAGCTCTTTCAATCCACTAACTCCTGCAGAGTTAGGGAGAAAACCAAGCATAATTTAGGCTTTTCTTTAAAATACTTTTCTACCACAAGGTAGGGACTTGACTGAGCTGCCAACATTTTGGTGGTTTGACAGACAAGCTCAGGCCACAGAGAGGGCACTCATTTTTACAAACACAGCTGGGCTCCTTCCTAAACTGCACTGCCTTTGATGTCAGTGCAAACCAAGGCTCTCAGACACCTCAGAGTGGGAATCCAAGTCTCACTGTTGGGATTTTGAGGAGCTCATGAACAGTGTTGCAGCAATGACACTTGCAGTGGAATCCTCACTCAGCTTTGGCAGCTGGTATAGGACTAGAGCCAAAGCAGACAAAATGAACAAGTGAATAAATCACCAGAGAGATAACATTGGGGAAAAAGCACCTATTTTATAGATTCCATAGATTGGATCCCTGCAGTGCACTGGAAGGCTCCACTGAGGAAGAAAATTATACACCACACCAGCCTGATGGTTCATTTTGTCACAGAACTTGTTGGGTCCACACAAAATCCAGCCAAATATGCTTGATCTTTTGCAAATGATCTCTTCTAAGATGAATTCCCTTATCTTCTCCCAGCTTTCATCTTCATGGAAGATTGGACAAATTACAGCTCTGCACTAAGACCACTTGGCTGCTAACAGCTGTAGGGCTTTTCCTTCTTTCTCTTTGCCAACACAGTGGCTCTCAGAGGAAGTGGCTTCTTCCTTCCCCCATCTCCCCTTCTCCTGTACCCAAGAAGTAATAAGACAGAAGAGAAACTACATGTAAAACTTTCCAGAAGGAAGCAAAGCAAGCCTTGTGAAAGCTTAGGACTATTTCTTGAAAGCACAAGGGTACAGAGATAGGGGACACTAATGAGAATGGGATCCCTTGGCACTTACTGTCAGTACCCAAATGATGACATACATTAAAAAAAAAATAAAAAAGAAGAAGGAAAGAAAGAAAGAAAAATTAGATTATGTGCCTCTATGCTGTAGCAATCCTTCCCTCCATGGCAAATTTAGCCCATTGGACTCAGGGGTGACCCAGCACATCATCTTCACTGACAAGGTGTCATCTGTATCATAGAGAGCAGCCTGAGGGCAGAGATTAAGACACTGAGTCGCTGGCTGCTTGTGGTTGCTGCCAGAGCATCCTCTCTCTCAATTTGTGCCAATTTTTCTTCTAATAACCTAACTACCATTCCATCATTTCAGCAAGCTGACAGGGCCACTCTTGAGGAGCTAGAGATTGTTTTAATATCCCTGCTGCTTCCGCAGGAGCACCAGAAAAATCCAGTAGATGCCCTCTTGGTCTCTCCCATTCATATCTTTAATTACTGCAGGACTGCTAAAAGTGAACTGCCCACTAAGGACAGAGAGGTAGCCTTCAGAAGCAATGTCTGAATCAAAACAGACTCTCTTAAATTCATCACTGTTAAGAGCTTTGGCATTAATCCACATTCATTTCCATTAATGATCCCAGTGTCAAGTCAGGTGCTGAAAAACAGCTGTTAACGGGGACCAAACGGATTTACATGACACCTGTTTGCCAAATCTGTTTTTAACCCTACCCAGTACCTTCCTACTGTTCTTTTTTGGTTAATTCATATTGCAACCCTCACCCTATTATTGTGGTTTTACCGTTTTGCTGGGGATTTGCCTTTTTCATGTCCCATGGTATAAGATATTTGAATTCCCTCTAAGAGCCAACAGAACATGATAACAAACGACTTCCAGGTGTAATGACAACTAAATCCAACCCAGTGCAGAGGTATTTACAGGCACCAAGGTTTTACAGTAACAAAGCATTTACATCTGAGCTGTGGCATCACTGCCAGGATATCACACAAACTGACAAAAGGGACAACACCCGTTTGAAGGCTTCTGACTGCTGTCAGGAGAGACAGCCAAGCATCACCTTAATGTACTCTAAAGATCATAATTGCTGGTTTACGAGCAAATTTTGTCTGGAAGGACCCAAAAGGGCTTTATAAACTCATTGTTTAGAGAGGAATGACTTCATCGTAAGGTGACAGACGGCAGCTGTTTAATGACATGGAGCATTATCACACAACAGTTCCAGCCAGGAAGGGTAGAACAATACCCTACCCAATTGAAAACTGCAGGGGGCTGCAATTTATAGACACAGAAGGTAAT